GAAAATAACGAATATAAACACAAAGAATAAACAGGAAGAAACTTAGAACACATACTCATATTTCCACGTTTTCTAGGTCTCTTTGAAAATATACAGAGAAGATAATGGCTGGAGACGGCTTGAATGGGTAATGAAGAAAAACTTTAATATAACAGCAAATGTACAACGTTTCGACAAGGTTTTGTCATCATCAGGTACCATCAGTAACCTTGTCGAAACGTTGTACATTTGCTGTTATATTAAAGTTTTTCTTCATTACCCATTCAAGCCGTCTCCAGCCATTATTAGTCTCAAAGTGGGTTCCTCGTCATCGAATTTGAATACAGAGAAGATGCAAACAACACAGAATTATAACAGCATTCTGAAGCCACAATACAATAGTGTCACAGTTAGTACACACCAAACCTAAAGACACAATGGAAAGCAAAAAACATCTTTTATAATATCCCTTGTAAAGTTGACTACAATACATTAGAGCTTAAACAAAAATATCAACAAAAGTTATAAATTCAGGATCACAATAAGCATACAAAATTTTGTTATACCGATATAACTGCTACAATAGTCCATAATGGTGGAGAAAACCATATGCCAGTGGTTCTCAAACATTTCAGGCTCGTGTACTAATTTTTGTTTAAACTTTTTTTGAAGTTCAAAAAAAAAACTATAAGCAAAAATTATATCTTTAACACTTATCCATTAATGGAACGAATTTGACTTTTTCTGGCACAATTGAAGGATGTGATGCTATTCTCATCAATTTGGAGGGAAGATAACACTGGAGAGTCTATAAATGAGAATAATAGTATGTATATGTACGCAGGAACCTCAGAGTGAGCTTATTATACATTTTATAATTTTGACATTAATTTTTTTCGTATACAACTGCCCTTAGTTCCATATATCATCAGTGGTACACGTGCTACAGTTTGAGAATCAGTCATATAATAAAATGAAATAAAACTAAAATAATGAGATATGAGCAACACACAATAAACAGGAAGATTAAAAAATTTACATCCATCTATCATATAAGTTAGCTAAACCTGGATGCACCTGGAAAGCATGCAAATAATTAGTTAATTTAAGTCCAACTTCCTCGCAGACTGTTGTAGTAGATTAACAGCCTGAACACTGTTAGCATGGTGTAGGAAGGAGTTGCAAAGTGGGGATGCTTGGCTAGACATGCAGATTTTACAATGGGAGATTGAAAGTATAAGGATTTGCTAAAAGCATCTTCCGTGCTGCAAAAGGCAGCTTCATCTAGGGGTGTCTGGAAGCATGCATATAATTTACACTTGCTATTTTAGTCAAGTATGTAAAAATGGGGCTACAGTACTCCGACGCCTCTGATTAGGATGTAAACTAATTATTATGAAGTAATGGAAAAAATAACTAAATAATACTTAGCCTTAGGGGCCGTGTAAGCTATTAACCATTACATTGAACGTGTGTGTGTTATTCATTTTACTGTTTCGATCACGGTAATCATTGAAAGGCGAAAAGTTTGTACACTCGCATTGAATAACACTTGTAAGTCAATGTTGCGAGATCACG